CTGTATCTGTATCTGTATCTGTATCTGTATCTGTATCTGTATCTGTATCTGTATCTGTATCGATCTGAATATATATACTTAATTGGTTCTGCGATGATTCCTTCTGCCCGTTACATACTAATAATATACCCTGATTTCCCACTTTCAATGGGTTCAGGGTATAAAAATACTCTTTTTTTATGGTCGATTGATATTATATTAAATTCACAATATTTTTTTGAGGGATTTTGATAAGTAGAAATATATTACCTTAAACTCATGGAGTAATATATAAATATATATGTAGATACTAAAGGTAATATGTATATACATACATGTATGTGAATATATTTTTTCAGAAGAATTAACTCGTTTAATTGTGGTAAATATTTTGAAATAGTGACGAGATCTGTTTATGGCCATTGCTCAACTTTCTCTGCTTGTAGTATATATACCCGTTCTTCTGAGCGCTCTATTGGGTATAGCTGAACAACATAACTTAATTGCAGTATTCAACACATGTTCAATGCGATGATAACTTAGACTTTCTGTCTATCAGCCGCCTGCTGTCTCTATATTGCCCTCAACTCTCCCCACCACTCTCCGTCTCGCTTGCATCCTCTCTCTCTATGTCTATCTCCCTCTTATTCTTTGTATACTGTTTATCGCTAGCTAGCACACTAGCTCGCCTCCGTCTCTATACATGGCTCGTATCTCTGCTCATCAGCGTCTGCTTCTTGTTGTTATGCTCTGAACGTGCGAAAAGTCAAATGTGGCTGTGGAAGGCATCTTTGCATCTGAGCTGAGCTGAGCTGAGCTGAGCTGAGCTGAGCTGTGGCCACTTGATTAACACGCTCAATGAAGCTGGCCGAACCGTTCACGTTGACGAACTTTCAAAGTTCAATAGGCTATCGGGTACATAAGAATCTTACTGTGTGTGAATGTGAATGTGAATGCGAATGCGAATACATGAACTAATCGACACTGAGGGCCGGCACTTAAAGGCAGCAAGACACGCGAATGTTTCCCCCATTTGCCATGGTTCAGCTGCATTCGGCTAATAACATTCCGGTTCACAGCCAAAATGCCTCATTTGTAGCATCGCAGAGCATTCACATATACACATATATTCGTATGTATACATATGTGTTTATGTATTCACATATGTTTTTATATGGCACATATTATTTAATAGCACTTTGCAGCCAGCGACATTCATATATAGTGCAATGTGACACGCTGCCGCCCATAAATTTTGATCGGGCACTGATTGAAATTAATGGCATTTCTGGTGTTGACACACTTCGCACTAAACGCAACCAACATAATATCCCCTAGGAGTGGGCGCCCACTTTCCGTATCTCCCGAAGAGTGCATTCGTAAATATAGATCTGTCGAAATTCTTTATGGGGCTGAAGTTTTCAATAGCAATACGAACGGGTTTGGCGTATTTATGTAATATATTGTTGACCATTTCATTTATTAAGTTATTTCATTTCATTCATTAAGTAAATCGCCTTTCAAAGTATCTCCCTCGCATTATTTATGAACTATTTGTTTTTATTTGCGGCATAATCTTTTGTTTATGAGCTGGATGTGCTTGCTCCATATGACAGTTCAATTGATTTTCAAATAAACATGCAATTGTGCCCGATACGGAGCTGCTTGTCAGCATATTCCGGGTGCATTTGTTCTCTGATTTGATACTCTCGAAGAGGGTGTCATGAATATGTAATAAGATATGTTATGCGACAATAGAGTTGTATACGTATGTATGTCTACATGCTGGACTCTATATTTTTATAGCTATCAAAATTTTCATTTATATATGTATATTTGTATCTGAATAGGTGTGCACATAGAAAATTGCATGTATTTGTATATGAAACTATCTAGCTAATACTCTAATCATATCAGTGAGTATAGTATTTGTATCTGTAGATCTGTATCTCTATTCATATTAGTATCTGTATCTGCATTTATATATGTTTCTCTTGTATTTTTATATGTGTCCATATACATAGTATGTTTTAGAACCGATTATAAGTCTATTGTGGGAAAAACCTTATGACAAAAATTGAAAAAAATGTAAGCTGTAAGCTGCAATATAGCATTGATATTTTTCCAGAACTTAAAATATCATCGACACGATATTTTAAAAGAATACGACAGCCCTCGATCAGTGGCAGTGTCAATATCTCACTTGATTCGAGTTCCTAGTGGCAACAGAAACTGGGAAGCCGCGACAGAGCAGTGATAAAACGCCATTTACGCTTATCACGCTTATCATTTCAATGCTGTGATGATTGCGGCGACTGCAGGCAGCTTCAGTATTTCATCAGCGAGCACAAAGCGAACTGCCTAAAAAGAACAATAAAATATGTGATATACATATATATAAATATATATATATATACATATATATACATATATATATATATATATATATGTATGTTTACATATCTCTCTCTTTGGTGACTGTCGGCATTCGCTCGCGTTGCATGCATCAATGTGTTGCTTTGGAGCGCCCCTATTTGAAGTCAACGCCTGATTGTTTCCGGTGCGCATGCGCAGTGTGCCATTGAAATTTCTTTCAGTCTGAGTGTCTGTGTGTGTGTGTGCATATGCATATGTACATACATGTGTGTGTGCGCGTATGTGCGCTTCGGTATGTTGCCTAGGTATGCATATGTCACTGTCACTCTTTTTTGGCTGGGCTCTGTCTGTATCGGGTGTCAGAAGGTCGTTCGCTCGACTTACATAATTGCTTTTGTCTACGTTTCGACATATTCGACTAAACAGAAATTAAAGAAAAGTAAAAACCGAACTACAGACTGAATGTTTTCTTTGAATTTGTAGAGTTAACAAAACACAAAAGTGAATTTGTAAATTCTTTAATCATTTGAGAGACAGTTGCTATCGCTTTTCACAGGCTCATCTGATCATCTATCTGTGAATATTCGAAACATAATCCACTTCTTTCATAATCTTCGCAGAAATGCAGGAATGCACGTCTAGCAAATTAATTTGCCAACTTGCAAAAGTTAAGAGCACAAAAGTATTCGATTTCTATATATTTCTCCTTTTTAACTCGATCAACTAGGGATGCTGTGAACAGTCAGCAGAGGGCATATTCATTAAACATTGGAACTGAACTATCGAATGATGTACTGATGCTGCTGGAAATTGGAACACTGTGACATATATGGAATAATCACTCTACTTGGGCAGCTAAGACAGTGAGAGCAAATATTGATTGTTTCCCTGACATAGATTAAATATTCACAGTTTTTGAAAACTGATATGAAGAAAGTTTAATATCATATGCTTCACTGTACTTAGAGACTTATAGAGAGGCAAATGTTCAGAGAAAACGAGAGAGAGAAAGAGAGAGAGAGAGTGACAAACTTTCGACTGTCATTAATAAATTTAATATTCACTGTACTCGAAAGCTAACAGAGATAGAGAGAGTGAATATTTCGATTGTTATGATAAGATTATCATATATTGAATATCAAGGGTATTATTAGAAGAGATTGTTGTGAATATCTTCTTATACATTGAATATTCTATATACATATACCCCTAAAAGCTAAGACAGGTAGTCAGGATTTCTATTATTGTACATATATTGAATGTGCACTGTATTCGAATGTTCATAGTATTTAATAATATTGTATATACTATCAGATGATAAGACAGATAGACAGAAACTAGTTGGTTTAATATAAATATAATATAAGACTGTTAGAGAGACAAAATATCCTCTAGATATATAGAGTATTCACAGTAATTAGGAGTTAAGACAGAGACACAAAATCTTGATATTGGATACAGTATGTACATACATATGTAATTGAAGACCATATCTTATATTGAGTATTCACTGTAATTAGAAACTTGGGCAGATGGACAGAATTTAAATTGTACTTACGAATTGTTGGCATAGTTGCTGCGCGTCTTGTGAAGAGCAATGCTGAAGCCGAACATCGAGTTGCTAGCGTGCCGATGTCGCACGTAGCTTGGCAGGTCGATGTTGTAGGCGTCTGTTGCTGGGTGTCGGCTGCAGTGCAGTGTCAACATGAGGAGCAGCAGCAGTGCCTGGAGGCTACTCCACCTGCTGCTGATCATGATGTAACAGTTGTTATGATCCACGTCCTCGTCGTTGTTGTTGCTGCTGCTGTTGGCGTTGTTGTTGTTGTTTGTCGGCTCTTGGCTGGCCTTAGCCTTAAATTGTGTGTTTTGTTGTTGTAGTTGTTGATTTTTTGCACTTTTATTGCATTTTCGTTAATGTTGTTATTGTTGGATCTGATTATTGTGTAAACTATTTCAATAAACTCAACATTAAACATTGCAAATCTCACATATGGTCAACACAAATTCACGCGCGCGCACACACACACACCTACACGTTCGCACCCACATGCCAGCTAATACATACACAAATACATACATACATACGTAGACAAGCTTTATTTTATGATCTCAAGTTGTCGCTTGCTGACAACCTTGGCCGAAATGTCTTGAGAAAACGCTCAGCTCAGCGAAATTAAAAAGCAGCCGCCAGTGGCAAGAACTGCGAGAGAGAGAGACACACACAATTGTGGAAAAAAATCAAGTTTTTTGAGCGGATTTTTTGGCTGTTTTTTTTTTTCACGTTTTTTTTTGTGCGTTCGTTCGTAATCATCAAATTCTTGTTTATTTATGTGCTTAGTTTTTGATTCCTGCATTGGCGCTCTCTTCGCTTGTCACAGCAACAGTCGCTGCGGATGCTGCTGCTGCTGACGTAACCCACGGAGCAGAACATGTTGCCAAAATCAAATATCGATATACACTTGCCAGAATAAATATGCTGTACGCAAAACTTTGGTGGTTAAAAAAAGGACTTGTAGGTGTGCTGTTGACCAAATGATATTTTTTGATAAATAACACATTCATTATGAAATGTTTACAACAAATTTAAAGTCGCTATGACATTTGGTTACTTTTCTATGATTAAAAGACTAAAAAAACATCGGATATCGGACCAGAAAAAGTATGCGTACACCCTAAAATATCAACAAAAAAGGAACTTTTTCATTAAAATAAAATTAAATTAAGTAAGACTTGGGATACCCCTTCCTTTTAATGGTCTCTGTCAATCTCTTTGGCATTGAATTTTTTTTATTTTCTAGTAATTTTGGAGGGTAGTTTAAGCCACTCCTCTATCAATGCGTCTTTCAACATATCCTTGAATTTAATTCATCGTAATCGATTCCAATGTTGCAGAAAATCCCAAATATGTTCTACAAGAGTTAAATAATGCAACTGGAGTGGCAAGTTTAATTGCTTCTTCAAATTATATAGTAACCATAGCTTCACATCGTGGGCTGAATGCTTTAGATCATTGTCTTGCTGGAACCAAAAGTCATCGCCAAACCCTAATTTCCTGCAGCTACTGAGCTAATTCTCTTTTAAAATTTGTAGATATGCCTTGTGATCCATTGTGGAGTCAAGGAAGTCAACCATCGCACAGCCTCACTGTGAGGGAGATTGTTCTCTAATATCGGACGCCAACAAAATAAAACGAATAACGCATATACATATTTATTCTGGCAAGTGTATGTATGTATATGGCACAAAATTGCATATGCATTGAAGGCGGCGTCGGCGTCGACGTCGATGTTGACGTAGGCGTTGACGTTAACGTTGGCGTTTGCGCTTGCGCTTGCGTTATCGTTTCCGTTGGCGTTAGAGTTGAGGCTGCAGGTAACATTTGACAAGTGGGCATCATGCACTAGCTGCACATGCGTGGAGTTGTATTGTATGTGTGTGTGAGTAGTGACAAATTCAAGCTCATTGATGGTTGTCATTCATTGAGTGTCACAACACATACACATACATACGTATAAGTAACAGCAAATCGTAAAGAAAATAAAAAATTCGATTGCGGTAAACGCGCCATATGGCCAACGACAGCACACATACATATGTATGAATGTATGTATGTATGTAAGTATATAATAAATACATGGGCGCACACACATGTACATATGTAGCAGAGGGAGATCGCGAGAGCGCTAACGGAGCAATAAGGGGAGCTAATATCGATGCCAAAGATACGTTGCGTATGCCCGCCCAGCAGTGGTGCCAGATTTTGAACGACAAAATAGGCGAAATTTCTCAAAAATATAAGCTAGAATAGGCTAAAAATTCGAAGAAAAAAAAACAGGCTTAAAAAAGCCAAAAACTAAACAATACATAAATATTATGTGCACTTATTTTACCTAATTGACAGTCTGAAGGAGATTAATATTTGCCCTGACGGCGCAATTCATTTCGACAGGCTTATTCATTTCCAAATAGTCTAGATCTAGCCATAAATAGGCTGCAATGGCAACACTGATGCCCAGTGGAGGAGATACGACACACACATGTGTGCACGAATATGTGCATGTGTGTGTGTGTGTATCCATATGTATACCTTAGACTGTTATAAAAATAAGCATCTTTAGCTAAACAATTGCTGGCAAGACTGCGAGGAGTAGACGAAGTTCTTAGACGCCAAGCTTGAATAATATATATATGTATGTATGTATATGTAATGTACCTATGTGCATATGTATGTATATGTATTGTAGTATTATTATAAATTTAAGACACAACACAAAAATATACATATTTGCTCATAATTAACCAAGTCTCTGTGTGTGTGTGTGTGTGTGTGTGTGTGAAGGTTAAAGCTCGAGAGTAAATTTGAAAATTTTTTAACTCGTTGTCAATTTCATTGTTGGAGCTTTGGCATAATTTTGTAAATCAAGTTATTTCTAAAGATTTTCTGATTATTTCAAAGAATTCAAATCAAGTTCTCGAATCACTTCAATTGATTAATATTGTATAATACGTTTGTTTCTTTATCGCCATATACACGTACATATATGTGTATGTATGTATGTATATGTGTAGACGAATTAGCATTAGATCATTCGAAAACTGGAAGCACAGGGTATTTTTCTAGTCGCAAAAAACGTTGTTTTTAAATTCACTAATTTTTTTCTTTAGCTTATGCGTCACTTTTGTATTTTTGGCACATTTATAAGATAAAAAAAAAAAAATGTTATAAAAAAAATGTGAAGAATATATGCAATTTTTTTAAATAAAAAAATATTTTAAATAAACTGTTGTTGGAAATGGTTGAGGCACGCCGCGTACTACCGTTTAAATATTAATTAAAATATTATAATTAATTTTTGAATACGTTTCGTTTGTGTTCGCTCCGCCAATACGTGCGAAGCGGAATTTGTAGAACGACTGCGAGCAGGCGAAAAGTTTCGTATTGGCCTAAAAAAAAAACACACAAACAAAAAAAAACTTAAGTTAACACATGCCACAAGCATACGTATCTATTAGATGTGTTTCAATGTGTCTGTCTCTGCATCTGTAGCTGAGAGTTTTGTGTCTGTTGTTGTTGTTATTTGTACCTGTGAATGTTGTTCGCTCACGCTAGTTGATGGCCGTCTTACCCCGCCTACTCACAAGCAAACACAGATCGAACGGCAGAGAGATAGAGAGTGAGAGCAAAAGAGCAACAAAGAGCCAAAGTTTTATTAACTGGCAGAATAGTTAGACCTTTTGTTGTTGTTGTTTGAGTTTTTTGGATGCTGTGTGGGCTGCATATGATCACATTTATGTAAATAGACACATATGTATATATGTATGTATATATGCATAAATCTATATTGTTGATATTGCTTTGCTCTTACTCTCTCTCTCTCACTTGTTCTCTTCTACTTTTAGATTCAGTAGGCAGACAAAATTTGATTTTTGTTAGCAATATATGTACATATTTGTTTCTCTTGCTTTCTCAGCAATGAAACAAAACAGTGTTGATGTGTCATTTTTGTATAAATTATGAACGATATATGCGAGATTATATATAGAGCATAGCCCACGCCCACGCTAGCGGAAAAGGTGCTCAGGTGGTCTAAAAAGCAGCATCAAGATCTTAGATTTGTTGTTGTATTTCTTTCTATTTTGTTGTACTACATACATACATACATATATGCGTAATGTTGTCTACGTTTAGTTTGGATCTTGGATGACAAAACGATTTGAATTTCCAGCCAAGTTCACAGTTAATTATTTGTATATCTAATATCACGCATACGCCGCATATCCCATGCACAAATAAATTCTCGTTTGGAATTGCAATTAATACAAAATAACAACAAAATCGTCAAGCGTTATTTGAATATATTTTGCATAGAGTACAAGTATTTGTATGTATTGTATTTGTAAATTTGCTTAATATAGCGGGTGTAAGTCGAATGAGTCGCGACAGTTCTAATTGAAAAATATATACACATAAAACAGTGTAAAAAAAAAAACTAGAGAGCAGCTGCTACAGCAACAAATATAATTGATTGTGATGCGATCGTTGAGATTGTAATTAAGAAGCATTGTTGTTTGTTCTTCATTATCAATTTTTGCACAAACACAGAACACCAGCATTCACACACTCACACAAACAAAAATTAGAGCATATACGAATAAATTTACTAACAATTAAGTTGCTTTTAACTAATTCAATATTCAATTTCGATTACAATTTTTAAATTGCTCGTAACGGCTTTTCGCTCAAACGGGAGTCGCAGCAAGAGCCGTTCATGCGCACACAACTGACAAGTTAGGCTATACGCGACCGAATAAAATTAAAATGAATTCATAGTTGGCGGCCAGCTGGCAGAATTGCCAGCTGACAGAGTTCAAACAAGCTGGCAGCTCTATGTGGCTTAAGGACGGCAACTCTGTTCGATGCATTCGATAACACATTTTGCTGCTCATCCTTAGCGCGCATATATTCATTTGAATATCCGTTTTTATGATTATAATATATCGCATATTAGTATGGCTATTTGTGTTTCAAAAATTGTATTATTATTATTTCATAGTCGAAAATTGAATTTAAAAAAAAAAACATAATTATTTAAAACACTGCCAAGGAGGGCTCTCTCATATACATATATTATGACAATTCTAATTCTCCAACCTATTAGAACCAAAGCTATGTGCATATCTATTGAAATTAATTATTAGGCTTTGTTCACGCAAAATAATTTGTTTGTAATGTAGTTAAATAAATTAAATTTCAAAATTAAATGTACAATTTTCGCCTATCGATAGTAACAGCCCAATCGATTTCAAACGAAACTCTAGTGTTGCTCATCCCTAGTGAGCTCTAGAATATTTGCGTTTCCCTCTAGGAAGTTTGTTGTCCTTTGCCGAGCAGGATTAGGAACTGCATCTAATAACAAAATAAATCCAGCCAGCCCTAAAAAGCTACTTAAACATTTACCAATCAAAAATGGATACAGAATCAAAGGAACAAAGTAATTTGAAGCCCATCCGCAAGGAGATTATCAGTCCTGGAAACAAATACATCGAACTCAAACCAGGCACCAGGGTAAGAAAAATGAAAATCACAAAGAGGCAACAGTTGTGTGTGGCCAACAAAATCCAGGTCATAACTGGGCCAAGGCCATAGTTGACGGTATACGAATATTACAGGTTAAATTTCACTTCCAAACGCGTCGGGCCAACGATGTGCGAATCATTGACGATAGCAAGAAAATTAACAAGCCAATGGAGCTGGTCTTGGGCAAGAAATTCAAATTGGAAGTGTGGGAGGTGATGGTGCAGAAAATGTCCCTAAATGAAGTGGCCAAGTTCACGGTCCACAAATCGGTAAGCAAACCGATAGATATATTAGTTGATTAATTCGATACTACTTGTACTTACAGCTCTGTGCCCAATATCCGTTCATTTCGAAAACTCTACGGGATATTGGCAAGAAACCCGACGAGCGTCGCCACTGCTGTGGCATGACACTGCAGAACGAGGGCATGGGCTACGAGGATCTCGATGAGCTGCTGCAGACGCCAGTCGACTTGGAGTTCATCATAGAACTAATATCAATTGAGCTGCCCGAGGAATACGAGAAGGAGCGCTGGCAAATGTCTGACGATGAGAAAATGCTCGCAACGCACACCTTGCGGGAGCGCGGCAACCGGCTGTATAATGCGCAAAATTACGCCGAGGCGGAGATTTGCTACCGCGATGCCGTGGGCATGGTTGAACAGCTGATGCTCAAGGAGAAGCCCCACGATGCGGAATGGCAGGAGTTGGCTAACATCAAGGTTCCCTTGCTGCTCAACTACGCCCAATGCCGTTTAATTGCTGGCGATTACTATGCTGTGATTGAGCACTGCAACGAGGTGCTGACGCTTGATCCGCGCAATGTAAAGGCGCTATTCCGCCGTGCCAAGGCACACGCTGGTGCCTGGAACCCGGCTCAGGCGCGCCGCGACTTTCTTGATGCTCTGAGTCTAGATGCGAGCCTAAAGACCACTGTCGCACGCGAGCTGAAGGCGATTGAGGAGCAGCAGCATGAACGCAACGTTCAGGATCGCATCCACATGCAGAAGCTCTTCTAGAATATAAGTTGTGCTAACGTACTGCTCATGCTCCTCGTTTATTGGAGCAACTATGCGCAGCGTTAACAGTTAGCCAATACCTTTCTCTTCTGGCAGAGTAGCTATATCTATACACTGGTCTTCTATGTCTCTAAGGGTTTTGTAATGCTCTGCCTTCTCTTCAATCAACTCTTGTGCTGCTGGATCATATTCAAGACGCTGCTCCTGCCCAGATTGAGGCGTCTATTCGGCTGAGGATGGGCGCCACAACGGTGCGTAGTAGGGAAGGCAACAATAAGATCAAATTCAAATATACTCTGCCTCTGTTTTCTCTCTCTATCATCTTCTGTCCTGTATCTGTCTGTGTTTCAATGTGTCTATGTCTCTGTCACTGTCTGTCGCTATATCTTTCTGTGTTGAACCGTTAATGGCATTTAGCCTAGCTGTAAGCCTTTCGAGCCTTCATCTTCATCTGAAACGGTTTCTGCAATGCCATTACTACGCCATCAATCGCCAAATATTGAAAGAAATGTATATGTTGTATGTAAATGTGTATTTAGGAATATTATCTATCATAAGTAAGGCCTCCACACGAGAGCCGTCAAATTGTAAGTGTAACGTTAAAGCGAACCATGCTCGTCTGTATTATAAGTGTATGTGTGTTATATATATATATATATAAATATATATCTAGTTCCATGTAGGCTTGTTATCCTAATAGCTAATCGTTTGCATGTGTAATAAACTTGTGTCTAAGTGTTGTCAACGTCTCTGTTTGCATTAGCATTGCATTGGCTACTCAAGCGATTAGAACTACTTAACTAAATGGGCCTAACTAGTAATCGGGTGCTATTCAAACGCTACTAGTCTTAAGGCAGTTAAACTTGTTAATTGCAATCTCATCTGATTTCCAGAGCTCATACTCTAAAGTTAAGCAAGAAGAGTTAAACACGAAATTGTTATATTGTTTACGTAAAAGCTGATTGTAAAATTTAAATGGAGTTTCAATTGCTTGTTACTCATTAGTTAGCCTTTAGTAATGGAATTTGTTTTTGTTTTTTGTTATTTATGAACATGCCCGACACACACTTGATTGTTTAAATTTGTTTATAATACACTTCTAATGGATATGTGGATAAACACATCAATTGCTTCTGCCTGATTGCATATAATATATGACACATATATATATTTATAAAGAAATCATTATTTACACAGTTGGTCTCCGCTCCAATGGTGGAGCAGAATTTTTGCCCCAGCAAATGTACGAGATCGAGCTGAGTCCGCAACAAGAAATCCGATTAACCATTCTTAACATGCCCAGTTATTTATACGATAAATGTTTAAACTTTAAAGTTAATATACACAATAAATACATAGCATAGACCTACGAGTTAGACCAATAACAAATAACGAACTGTCTTTGGAAGCGAGCTTGCAGAAGTGCGGCCGCATCTAGAGGCGCCACAGGCGACTGCTGTTGCCACCAGCGGCGCCTTCGGCCTCACCGCGAAGCTTGTTGTCGTCTGTGCGCCAGACGAACGGCTCCAGGCGATCGTCGTCGTCCAGGAAGTTATTGATCGCCTCCAGGCTGGCGATATTCTCGTGCAGCAGCGAATTGCAGCGGCTCAGCTGCTGCGAGATGCCGCGAATCTTAGCGAACTGCTCCGCATACGAGGCGTATGTCTTCTGCATATCGACGAAGCTGGCGAAGAGCGTGGTTATCGAGTTGCTGACCACCTTAGTCCGCTCCACGAGATGATTCTGTTCGCTGGCCACATGGCTGGCGCACAGATTCAAATGGGTCTGCATGCGGCTGCAAATATTCAGCAGATGCTGCGAATTTAAGCGCTCCAGAATCTCGGGATCCCGTGTATATGTCGCTGAGCTGATCGACTCCCGCAGCACGGGCCAGAACTGAGGTATGTTACGCAGGCGCAGCAGATCCGGGTCAATGTCGTCATTGATGTCCCGTGTTCCCGGCTTGACGATCACGATATTGTGACTGGAAGCCGTCGACTGCGGCCGCTTTGGCTTGATGGTTGTGGTAATGCTGCCAGGATGCGACTTGCGAGCGGCAGCCCGACTGGCACTGCTCTGCTGCAGCATATGGGCAGGTCGGTTGCGTATCTTGGGCGAATCGCCGATAGGACGATCCGTATAGGAGACATACGGCAGATCTGAGCACACGCTAAGCAGCGGTGAAGGCGGTCGGCTAAGCTCAGAGCTCGTGGGCGAGGCGGTATCCGAAATGATTTGCTTGCTGGCAATCACAATGCTAGCTGGTCCATTACTAGCGCCATGCGGTAACGCTGAAGGCTGCTGTTGCAGGAGCTGCTGCTGCTGTTGTTGTTGCTGCTGTTGCCTCTGATGTACAGCGCCGCCCCTACGTTTGTTTGTGGCTGCCGTCGCAGCCGCCGTCAGAGCCATGGCGCTGCCATCGCTCATTCGAACAGCGTCAGAATTGCTGGAGGATTGGGCCATGCTACTGATACCAGCTGGATCGCGTTTCTCGAAGATTTCATGGCCGTCAGCCTCGACGCGCTGCTGCGAGTGCTCCGCACCCATTGCGCTTCAGCTGTATGCTTTAAATATATTGATTTTATTTCCACAGCGACATTATTATGCTTCAGACAGGCCTAGAGTATTCTGTGTTTTCTTACCAGCTTTTTCTAGTCAATTGTAGAGAATCCGTTCTCTCTCGTTTGTAAATATAAAAAAAAGCTCTCTTTTCCACAGAAATTTGTTTTGTCTTTTTGTTTCCTTTTTGTCTTTATTTTCCCGTTTTAGTTGTTTATATCGAAAGTATCGATATTCTCGACCCACTGAGTATTCGATATATCGAACAATTGTAGTTTCAGTTTTGCTAGTTTGAATTGCAGTTTGAAATTGGTAAGCTGCTATTTTTGCCGCTCACGTAGGGGTATTACTTTTCAAGCCCCAATTAATAAGTTGGTTAATTTATATAATATAAGATGTATTGATTTGTTGTTTATATAAATAATTATTTATTAAACATAAATATATAAATAAATATACAATATATAATAAATGATCGTTTTATGTAAACAATTATTGTTAATGTAATTGTTGATTATTGTAGTCTTTAATACAAACTTGTCGATTTTATGTATCATATATAAAAAGAAAAACAATCATAATTGATTAACACTTGCCATTTTATATGGTTGTTATTAGCAAAAAAAAAAAAAAAATCAAAAATCAATAAATAAAAACGTGAGAAATAGTCTTGCCGATTAATTCAGCTTTCAAGCTCTCTGCGCGAATGGCTTTGGGGATGGCATAAATGTAGTATTATTGAGTAACTAATTGAAATCGATAAATATATTTATGAAATAACTGCCACTAGCAAAAATCCTTCTGTTTGAACGAAACTCTCGACCGAGTAAGTACGGAAAGGCGTAAGTTAATCAAATTTTCAATTTGTGCTGCAATTTCCGTGTTAAAATCAACGTTCAAGAAGTTTTTCAAGATAATATCTTTGTGCAACACACCATCGAAACAAGTATGTACAACAATATTCTATTGCGTTCTGTTTTAATATGCAATTTATCATTTTACCCCAATAAAACCAAAAACAAAACAAAAACCTAACCTCACATGTGTAGCTAAAATTTCAAGAAAAACTTAGTGTTAAACTTAGTGATTGCGATGAGTGAGAACAATCCACAAGCCCCGACTCAGCCACTGGCTAACGGAGTCAATCTTTTGCAACTGCAAGCCCTCAAATGGCTCTACGCGCAGGCTCAGCTGAAGATTACAAGTGCAGCTAATATACCGGGAGCCGCCCACTCCAGTGGTCAAGTGCCACCAACTAATGCCGCTCAGTCAAATCTAAACAATTGGTTTTCGGCCAACCATGGCGCCGTTGGAGTCCAGCAGCAGCAACAACAGTCGCTGTATAATAACTTAAGCCAATGGGGGGCCACTGACGGTATCAAGCAAATCTACAATCATGCGCAGAGCGCCAGCCAGAACAACCTCCCATTCAACTTTGGGAAGTCGCCGAATAACATGCCATTTAACTTTGGGCAGTCGCAGCCGCTGCAGAACAACTTCGCATTCAATTTGGGGCAGTTGCCGTCGCAGCCGCCGCAGACTAGCTTCCCATTTAACTTGGGGCAGCCGCAGCCAGAGCCGTACCGTAATACCAACACCCCATATAATATTTGGCAGTCGCAGCCGCAGCCGCAGTCGCAACTGATGCCGCAGCCGAAGTCGCAACTGATGCCGCAGCCGAAGTCGCAGTCGCAGATAGTGCCGCAGTCGCAATCGCAGTCGCAGTCGCAGCTGGTGCCGCAGCAGCAGCAGCAGAATTTCATGGGCTTTGTGCCGCAGCAGCAGCCGTTTAGCGGATATCAGGACCAATCCGCGCCGTATTACCCGTACGGGCAAGCTCCATATTATGGCTACATGGGAAATGGGCCAAACATGGCTTATATGCCGCCAGGGCAGCAGCAGCAAGGTTTTTACCCAGGAATGTCCGACTATAACCATATGAATCCACCATATGATCAGGCCTATTGGGATCAGCAGGCCAATGCCAACTCGATACCCTATGGCGGCCACCCAATGCAGCCACGGCATGTCTATGTGAACGGCGCACTCTATAACGCAGACCTGGTCGAACCCCCCGTGGACTTTGGCCGACCACCGCCAGAATTCGGGCCAAACAATTCGTTGTTGGAGACCGAAGACGACTCCTACGATCCGATGGACCCTGTAAGTGCTTAGTTCTTGGTTGACTTGAATTTTGTTTTATATCCGTGTTCCGCAGGTGATGCCGACCATCTATGGCATACGCTTCTATAATCCAAACAACGGCCCAGATGGCGCCATTCCGCCGCGTGCTCCGAAAAAGAGGAAGTGCAGTCACAACATGTACATGAACTCCTGGCAGCCATCGAAGGCAGCCAACTACTTTGGCCAAGGCATGCCGTGGTATAACAACGCCTATCCACCAGTCCCATATAATAACCTACCCACTGGCGGTAACTTCCCCAACTACACTTACGACAACTCCAACGGCACTGCCAACAACAATCGCAGCCAGCTGGCGCCGGAGATGCCGATGGGGTCAAGTGCTGGAACCAACGCCGGTGGCAGTGCCACCACCAGCGCAACTGGCCAAAACTTCATTCCCATTTTGTCGCCGAGCTCGAAGACAAAGCGTCGTCAGGGCCGCAGTCGTCCACGCGGCTACATCCAATCGTTCGGCATTGTTGCCCCACTCAGCCACAACAACAATGGGACCAAGAATAGCGCCGGCGATGCCAAAGCCAATGTCCCGGCCGCAGCCGAGAAGAAGTCCCCAGCCAAGAAAGTGGAGAACTCTGACGCTAACGATCTCACTCTGAAGTGGCCTTTGCCCGCGGAGGGCAACAAGCCCGACCAGAAATCCTAAGCGAAACGCAACTTAACTTTCTTGAAGCCAGGCAAGGGAAATTGATCTTCTCGATCACATCTCTTTCCATTCTTTGAGAATCACTAAGAATTTAAACATAATGTTAAAACTATGAGTATTACGAACTAACCAAACAAAATGAAGTCAAAAATAAACGTTAACCAAACAGAAAATAACGGAATCTTGCAAAAGAAAACATATTTGGCTTTTTGTGTCTGAGAAATCTGTTTTTAAATATAGGTAGGTCTGGTTATCTTAAAAAAAAAAAAACCTTTTCGGGATCTTTCGGAAAAATATTGGACAATAAGTTCTTACCACTGAGGAAGGGTTTGTTAGTCTTAAAATAAATTAGATATTTGTGATGACTGGGAAGATAATATTGGCCTTCGATCAGTTCTTTTTTTATTTAATATCTTTAGCATTAAAATAATGTTTGATTCAAGGGGGGTAAACCGTTTTGAAATATATAGATTCTTAGGAAATCACATCGGAATTATTTAAGATTTTATTTTTATTTTTTGTTTTATTACTGAGATAAAAAAAAAAAAAAAAAAAAAAAAAAAAAAAAAAAAT